GGCTTAACTCAAGTGGTAAAGCCCTTGCCTAGCAAGCGTGAGGTCCTGAGTTTAAGCATCAGTACTGCAAAGAAAAGAAATGAAAACTGCATCTCTGTTGGAACTGGCTTCAGAGTAGGCTTAGGTGTCCTACAAGGAAAAAAAAAAAAAAGGACAGTCCCTGATAACCAACTTCTCTTCTTAACAAAGAAAGGAAAATGCTCACAGTTCGCAATGGCAGTACTCACTGTTGGCGATACCTTTGCTGCCATCAGACCTCGCTTACTTGTGTAACAAATATACATAGCAAACCACCCCTGTGCTAGACCCAGACCTCTTCCTAACACTAAGCTCAAGGTCTGAAAAGGCCAAGGACACAGGATATTTGTAAAGTGTGCACTCAAGCTCAGGAGACAGTTTCAAAATAAGAGTGTGCACAATGTTTGTATGATAGCAACTTTAATAAAATAACTTCTTCAACTGTATAGTTCACTACTTTCATCCATTCAAATATTTGAACATTTATTTAGAGATAAATAGGCTAATAATTAGCTAGCATTTGTTGCCCTCAATGCAGAGAAACTAAAGCAGATACCTTAAAAGCAACTGAGGCCAATAGAAGAAGGGGACCAGGAACTAGAGAAAAGGTTAGATCAAGAAGAATTAACCTAGAAGGTAACACACATGCACAGGAAATCAATGTGAGTCAACTCCCTGTATAGCTGTCCTTATCTCAACCAGCAAAAACACTTGTTCCTTCCTATTATTGCTTATGCCCTCTCTTCAACAAAATTAGAGATAAGGGCAAAATAGTTTCTGCTGGGTATTGAGGGGGTGGGGGGAGAGAGGGAGGGGGCGGAGTGGGTGGTAAGGGAGGGGGTGGGGGCAGGGGGGAAAATGACCCAAGCATTGTATGCACATATGAATAATAAAACAATTTAAAAAAAAGGCTAATATTAAAAATTAGTTACTATTTATTACTAAATAGTCACATCATATAAGGTATGAAAGCATGTGTACATAGAACCAAATACACATATATGTGTGTGTATATATATATATATATGTATGTATATTACAAAGCACATTTTTAAAGGTGAAGAAGAGGAAAGATGCATAAATCTGTATTGCTTACAGGAAAAAGAAGACAAAAGAGAAATAAAGATAGCTTATTCAAATGTAAAATTATCCCTAATACTTTAAAAATAATCAAGAAAAGGTCAGATGTGGTAGTGAATGCCTGCAATCCTAGCTACTTGGGAGCCAGAGATAGAAGGACTACAGTTCAAGGCCAGCCTGGGCAAATAGAAAAAAAAATTAGCAAGCCCCTGTCTCAAAAAACAGTCTGGGTATGGTAGTGCACATCTGTAATCTCAGCTATTTGGGAGGTGGAGGTAGGAGAATTGCAGTCTGAGTCAACCAAGGCAAAGCCTGAGATCTTATCTGAAAAATAACTAAAGCAAAAAGGGCGGGAAGTGTGTGGCTCGAGTAGTACAATACTTGCCTAGCAAGCACAAGACCCAGAGTTCAAAACCACAGTAATCACCCCTCAAAAAAAAAAATCAAGAAAAATACTATTAATCATTTGTATCTTAATTAAAACTAATACTACCATAGGTTTAACTGGATGAAAATTCAAGAAAAATATGAAAACTGTGTCTTAACAATTCAGATTTTTAAATTAAAACTGCTATATAATCATGGGTCAACTTCTAACTTTGCATTATGGAAGTTCAGAGAAAAGTAAATGCCTACATGGTACCTATAGCCTCTATCACTACATCTATACTCATTCACCCATCACAGTCCTAGCTTTACTGCCAGCTCTTAAGACCAAAACAAGCTGCTTCTCCCAAAACAAAAAAGAACACTGACACCCTATGTGTTAGTCAGTCTTTGTATCACTGTTTCAAAATACCTGACACAAACAACTTAACAGAGGAAAGATTTATTTCAGCTCAGGGTTTTAGTCCATCAGGGTGGGGAGGACGTGGCAGAGTAGCTCACATCATGGTAGACAGGAAGCAGAGTGAAGAAGCAACAAGAAGGAGCCAGGGCAAGATCTAGGTCCCAAGGACACACCCAGTGATCTATTTCCTCCAACCATACCCCATCTTCCACAGTTCCACCATCTGCCAATAGTCTATTGAAACCATCAATGGATTGAACCATTGACTAGCTCAGAGCCCTCATGGTCTAATTGTCTATAGCGGTGCCATCACAGAACACCCAGAGGTGTTCTTCAAAAATCTCTCTCAGTTCTATCACATTGGCAATCAAGATTAATCATCACATCCTGCTTCCCAGTCTTAAGTAAGCACTCAGTAAGACTCAGTAAGACAACAACCATCACACCATCACTTAGCTAGCAGTCACCGTATGCTAGGCAATGTCCCATTCATTCCCCACAGCAATGTGATCAGTCACATGGGAGAAGTCAAGGAAGACAGAATAGGTAGTCAGGACAACACCAGCCAGGAGCCACATAGCTGGGACACGCAGAAGTAGTGAAGGAAGAGAATAATTCTGCAGTCTGGCAAAGACTCTTGCACCAGCCAGCTGAGGAACAAAAGCACCACCCAAGTGCAGCACTTCACCCTAATGTCAAGGAGGCCATCAGGGCAGGAAACAGTGAAGCCACTACAATGAGATTTGTGTAAGTGGCAGGAGAGAAGCAGATCTGTTAAAGAAACCAAATACTTCTGTGCTTCCAAGTAGTCCCAAACAATGAAAGGCAAAGTATGTAAAAAGTTGTTAATGAAAAGAGAAAATGCCAAATAATGAGTATAGGAAAATGGAAAATGGCTGGTACCCACTGAGCAGGTCACGCTGTATGAGAGTAAGCTCACACTAAAGCAGCTGTTCAAATAGTTAGGCAGATTCTGAGTCAATGAAGAAGCAAGGCAAGTAGCAAGGGATGCACCGGCCTAACGTGGAGCCCCCAGACAACATCTGGTGTGAGTTGATAAAAGGATCTCAAGGGACCCTTTCACTTGCTAAACATCACTGACAAGAAACAGTCACTAGAGTGAGAAGGCTTCGTTAACTAAATTCCTGCATAAATTCAACATTGTAGAGAAACTTTTATAACATGAACATCTTTCCTACAAATAGTGCCAAGACCCAAGTTTGAAAGAAAAGAACACTAACAAATATTCCTGATTACACAAGGGATGGATCAGAACCATGCTTGTGGGAGCAAGAGAAAAAAGGGAGAAATATAACCAAAGGCTCTTGAGCATGAATGCAAAGAAAACTGTTCCAAGATAAGGAGATGAAAAAGAACTTGAACACGGATTTAAATAATCAGATCCCAACAAGCTTTCAGTACTGTTTAAATTATAAACTATCAGTATAGTCTCTAAAATACATCTTCATATGCACATATATAAGGGCCTAAAGAATTAAAGTTAATAGTCTTCAGATTTAAGGAGCCACTCATAAAGGGAAAAAGTGATTGAAAAATTCATATACAGAACACAACCAAAAAAGAAAAGAAAATGGCTATACCATCCCTGTGTCCAGTAAAGTATTCCTCAGCAGAAAATCTCCTGAAAGTTTTGCTGGGGGCTGACTTCCAGCAGAGAGGTGAACCAGTATGAGAAATACTGGGGTGCTGCTGAGATCACAAATCAGACCTGGGCTTGAAATCTGATGGG